ATATTACAATTTTTGGACAAAAACAAAATTATATGTTCTGACCAATATGGATTTAGAAAAGGAAAATCTACTACAGATGCAATTTTGGCTGCAATGGATGAAATTAACTCTAATGTCAACAAAAAGATACCTACTATTGGTATCTTTGTTGATCTAAAAAATGCCTTTGATACGGTTAACCATGTCGAGCTTCTGAAAGTTATGGAAAGATTGGGATTTAGGGGAGCGTCACAAATCCTTTTAAAAAATTACCTTTCAAGTCGGGCACAGACTGTCAAAATCACTAACACTTACAGTAAAAAAATGTACATCAAGTGTGGTGTGCCTCAAGGAACAGTACTAGGCCCACTACTATTTAGTCTCTACTCAAATGACTTATTCAAAATTAACAGTTCTTGAAAGATTATATGTTTTGCAGATGACACCCTCGTATTATATAAAGCTGATGACTGGAGCACACTGAAGCAAATAGCTGAAAAGGATTTTATAAGGATCATTGACTGGTTTGATACTAAAATTTTAACAGTTAACTTCAAAAAAACAAAATTTATTACATTTACATCCTATTCAAAATTGTTACCTACCTTCGAACAAATTTCCGTTAATTATCATGGCCAAAAGACCAAAATCGATAGAGTTAACACTTTGAAATATCTTGGAATATTTATAGACTCACATCTAAGGTGGGATAACCATATTAAATATGTTATAAAAAAATTAGAAATGTTGCCTATAAACTCAAAATGCTTGCTAAGATTCTTACAGAAAGTTATCTGCGAATCCTATACCATGCCTTAGTTGAACCCCATATAATATACGGCATCACAGCCTGGGGTGCCGCCTGCAAGACATATATTTCTGACCTGAATATAGCACAAAAAACTGTTTTGAAAGCCATTTTCCATAAGCCAAGATTATATCCAACGAACAACTTATATCAAGAAACAGGGATACTTGATACAAGACAACTTTATTTCTTACATGCCACCACCTTATACCATAAGTATTGTAAAAAAAAGAAAAAATCCTATAAACACGAGCATAACACACGATTTCGAATAGGCTCATCTAATATCCAAAGACCACACAAAACATAATTCAAAAAATCATTTAAATTCTTAGCAGCTAAATTATATAATGTAGTACCAAACGAAATAAAGATACTTAATTTTGGAAAAAAATTTAGAAGAAAATTGAAAGACTGGGTTAGTAATGTGCAGCGAATGACTATACATAATTATATAGAAAACTAAAACTACAAAATTCCAATTACATTAATACCTTTTAGATTTAACAATAATTGTTATACACATATATGATTGATTGTTAGTTATTAAGATATAAACCACACACAGGCGATGCCTTCTGTGGTTTTTTCATATTTATTTGCCCATTTTTTGTATTTTGGCGAATAAATATTATTATTATTATTATTATTATTATTATTCAACATCAATCTTTAAACGCAGCTTTTCATATAATGCAGCCAAACTATACAATTGTCTCCCAAATGATTTTTATGAGTTCTCTTTATTGAACTTTAAGAAAAAGCTGAAGAATTTGTATCTCTCTGAAGTGTGAAGGATTCTATATGCCGACTCTGTCTACGCCCACTACTTTTCTACTTGTCTCTATTTCATTATTGTTCTATTAATTGTTGATACAAAATACTTTTTCGTTACCTTCAAACATGTATTATGATTTGCTGATAGGATGTTGGTAGCTACACGAGCAACAAAAAACTTTTAACCCTACGTTCTATTGAGAAAGTTATGGTAGTTAAATGGATGAGCTGAAACTCACTAAAGTTTTTTTCTTATATTTTTTATGGTTAGTTTCTTTCTCTTAGGCACTAGGTACACCTTACAGAACAGTTATTATGACTATCATTGATACTTATGTTTATCTTTATTATTGTATGATGTATGTTCATGATACAGATACAATTTTTTATTTGAGGTTCAGTTGAAAAATACCCATAGGGTAACACTCCACCTTTTCAATTTTGCACTTTTGCTGTTCTCAAGATATTATTCTTTTGTTTATTTTGTGTATGAAAAGTTGAATAAAGGCACATTATTATTATTATTATTATTTATTTCCCTGGACACTCTGATCCACAACTTTCCTGGGGTCTTTACCGATATGCTTTTGCATTTTCGGACAATACAATAAAGATACTTACTATATTCTTTATGTAAACTAGTAAAAGCCATTTTCATTTTTTCAGCAGAGTTGCCAGAGTATCGTTAGCCTTCATGGATCAACATCGCAGCAACCGTTTTCCCCAGTGAATAATGCACTCAAGAAGATTGGAGCTGTCACTGTCACTTAATTTCACTTCCCTGATATTATAGAACAAAACTGCTAGTACGACACGACACGACACGACACGAGTCTTTTAAGTTTTGAATATAGAAACATAGTAGGCCGCGCGGATCGAACGTCAGTACTGAAGATAGACATGTGACATATTGCGAGATTGAGTTGTCCTTGAAGACCTCAATTCAAAAAATTTCACATGAAGAACTAGGAGTAAGAAAATTAGTTTTTCGTTGGATACCCCACCTGTTGACTGAAGAGCAGAAAGCAGCCAGCGTTAATTGGTGTCAAAAAACGCTTGACCGTTTCAAATCTGGAAACTCAAAAAATCTGTAAAGCATTGTTAGTGGTGACGAATCATGGATGTACTGTTATGAACCAGAAAATAAACCACAGTCGGCTGTTTGGGTGTTCCAAGGTGAAGAAAAGCCAACAAAAGTCATCCGTTCTCGAAGTGTTTCGAAAAAGATGGTCGCGACATTCGTGTCAAAAACGGGTCATATTGCAACAATTCCTCTTAATGAGCAAAGAACTGTTACTGCGGATTGGTATACCACCATTTGTTTGCCAAAAGTCATCACCGAGCTTCGAAAAATCAACCGCGAAAAACAATAAAGTCATTTAAAACTACCTACCGTGTTAATTTATTTCCATATGCAAAACTTAAAAGACATCCCTCGTAGTATATTAGTTTAAGACCTGTTTAAAAAGTGTCAACTAGCCTAATGCGGACTTTGGGATTTCTAAAAGCAACCAAGCAATTTGACTTGAACAATGCACTGCCTCTGAACCTAATATTGATATGACCGAATACGCTCCAATTCGTCCAAGGTATACAAATCAGAGCAGCGTGACCGTGGCCCAGTGACCATGGCAGCCACCAGGGCAGTAGTGCAGCGCCGACGCTATGCCGGCAGGCGGTGTTGTCGAGCCTACCGATTTTTCGATATTTCTACTGAAATGAGATATTAATTACCAAATTTTTTATTGGAAAAGGGCCGGAACTAAAAATGAGCTAAGAAAATGAATTCTATCTAGTTACATGTCTCATACCAGTCATACCCAGATTTGGATTGTCTACACATTCCACGGGTACAGGCTGCAAAATCACCATCATTTTCGCAACACCAAGCTTAGGTGTAAATCGGAAAAATATCCAGAATCTTATGAACAAGATTGGCAAAAGGAATTTGAATGATGGAGGCAAAGGAGTTTCAGGAGCGACCTGTAAGCTCATTGTGTGAATTGTAATAATGAACTCAAGATTCCTTTAGGAACAGATGCCCCCAAACAAGATGTGTTGTGTATGTGCGTGTAATACAAAATACTCTTTTTTCATAGATAGCGCTGCTTGACGTAAGCAGCAAGTCCTTTGATCCATCGCTGACTTCATCCTCCTTCGATTTTGATCTTGAATCTACGGAATTCCGTCGACCCTATCTACCGATTTCGTCTTTTTCGGTCAGGCAACGCTGCCAGCAGGGCACTTGTTGACCAGGATTCCGGCCAGCGCGGCGCGACGACGTCGGCGGTGACCCGACCTCCCGCTGATAACCAAAACTGGGCCACAATCGGATGCAACAGCACAGTGCATGTGCATGCTCAGATCCTTGTTCGCCAGGGCGTTCCTTTATCATAACAAAACTACGGTGTTGTTCCAGAATAAAGCTACGTCCTCAAGGGGCAAAAAGACGAATGCGTCGTACCGTTTCGATCGAAGGCTGTGGACTGTTTACAGCATTGATTCCCAAAGTGGTCTATATCGACCCCTAGGGGTCTATGACAACCTGCAATGGGTCTACGTCAGCGAAAAAAAATTTGGGGGTCCATGAAATGAATATGGGGGTCCACGATAGTGGATCTCAACACATACACCGATAGTACCTATTCACTTACATCATACCATCTTATAATATCAAAACATATACATTATTAATAAAAGTACCTATGAAGTAAAAAATTTATTACTTATATATGTTTATAAAATTGTGTAAGTTGTAAGATGTTGGTATTCGCTTTGTGGTCGCAATACATTTTGAACTTGTAAAAACCTGAGAGTCGCAGTCTCAGAGCTTCGCTACCTTGCACTGACTTGTTCAATTCGTCACTCTATAAATACGAATGTGGGACAAATACGTTTATTCGTTTCCTGAATCTTGAAAAGGAAAGTGCTAAGAAAATATTTTAAAAAATATAAACAGATAGTATATCACACAAATTATAGTGAGTCAGTGTTATTTTGTTTGAGAGTGCTGGAGAAATGTAAGTACATTATTTTTTATTAAAATTTAGTTTTGTACTCGTAGTTAGCAAAGATAGATAAATTACGCCAATCATGACTTTAGTTATTAGTAGTTAAATATTCAATCATGCAAAATCACACGAGTATTCCTCAATAGTTTCTTTTTGAAAGTTTTAGCAATCGGTAATATAATTACAGTGCAATCTCCGTAATTCGAGCTAATTGTTGCAAGAAGATGTACAGTGTTAATTATTTGAAATTTGGCTTCATTCCATCATTGCCGGACAAACAATCGCCTATGTGCCTTTTATGCAACAAAGTTTTGGGCAATGATGCTATGAAACCATCTAAACTGCAAGATCATCTGAGAAGATGCCACCCTGATAAAACAGAAAAAGATTTGAAATACTTTCAAACACTCAAAGATAAATTTCAGAAAATACCTACACTGGACAGAATGTTCGCTTCGACGTCACAAAGAAATGATGATGGTTTGCGGGCGTCTTACAATATCTCGTTACTTATAGCAAAATCCGGAAAAACGCATACTATCGGAGAGAAGTTAATTTTGCCCGCCGTTGAAGAGGTTTTAAAAACTGTTTTACACAAACCTGCATCTGATATCATTAAAAGAATTCCCTTAAGCAACAATACGTACTGTTGAAAGACGTATTGATGAAATGAGTTCTGATATTGAAAGCTTCTTATGTAATTATTTGCAAACGAACCATTTCTCTATACAACTGGACGAGTCAACTTTACCTGATAATGCAGCATTATCATTGGCATATGTTCGTTTTATTATGAATCAAGAAATCTACGAAGAACTGCTCTTCGCAAGAACTTTGATAACCGACACTAAAGGTGAATCAATATTTCATGTTTTGAAGGATTACTTCATTGAAAAAGCAATTCCTTTATCAAATATAATATCAGTAACTACAGATGGAGCACCTGCCATGGTTGGACGTTATCGTGGATTTATAAGTTATTTAAAACAAAATGTGTCAGGGGTGTTAGCAATACATTGCGTCATCCATCGACAACATTTAGATGCTAAAAATTTGAGTGTTAGATTGCATGAATCACTTCATTTAGTCATTGATGCAGTAAACCGAATCCGAAGCAACGCGTTGAATACGCGGTTATTTGCGCAGTTGTGTGAAGAAAATGACGAACACTTTCGTCAATTACTCCTTCACACTGAAGTACGCTGGCTGTCGAAAGGCTTATATTTGACAAGATTTTTTGCACTTTTTGAGACTATTTTAGAATTTCTGGATACTAAAGATAAAAAGAAAACTTAATAAAGAGGAAAACAGACATCGCCTATTTAACAGATTTGTTTAGAAAATTTAATATGGTTAATTTGCAATTACAAGGCGACAGTTTAAATTTGATTAAAACAAAGTCCATCTTATCAGCGTTTCTTGCCAGAGTTAAACTAATGAAGCAAAATATTGGACGGGGCGAATTTTCTCAGTTCCCCAATTTGTCACAGACAAGCTGCCAGGAAGTCGACGTTTCAACTTACGTTCCACATTTAAATGCCCTCTATTCAGATTTTGAATCTGGGTTTAAGGATATTTTGACTATGGTAATACCACCGTGGATAATTAATCCATATGGTGACATAGAAGAACCGAATGTCATAATACAAGAGGAACTGACTGTACTAAGTACAAACGAAAAACTTAAGGTTCAGTTTAAAAACGGATATCAGCAATTCTGGCAGCAAAACAACATACCCGTTACTTATCCCGTATTATGGAATATAGCGAGGAAATTTTTAATTTCCTTTCCATCGTCATACCTAGTGAAAAGGGGGTTCAGCACTGTTACCAATCTCCTAACGAAAAAAAGAAACAGACTGGACGTCATTAGCCGAGAAAATTTAAGATTAACCCTTACAAAATTGACGCCAAATGTTGATAATTTATTATTAAAGCATCAGGTTCATCCTTCTCACTAAAAATATTGACTTATTGCTTATGTTATTTTATTTATAGTTTATTTTATGTTTATTGGTGTCTGACCAATAAATGCCCGCATTGGGAATAAGTGCCCGCATTGATTTTTTTAAAGAATCCCCCTTTATAGAAAATATTTTTTTTTAATTATTCTGAAAATTCAAGGGTAGGTACACACTAAAATTCGTTAATTTTTTGCCTATTTTTAGATAACTTAAACGTATAAGAAGCGGAATTTAATCGAACTAACAGTGAAATTATTGTAGATCATACGTTTATGTTATAATTAATAAACGAACTCGCTTATTGTACTATTTTAAGTAAAACACTTTTTTTATTATTTTTCACTCTTTTTTTATTTCATCCCTCTTATTTTTTTTTCAATGCGGGCACTTATTCCCAATGCGGGCACTTATTGGTCAGACACCTTTTTATTTAATGTTACGTATACTTTACATAACAGATACAAAATATTATTTTGAGTAGTTTTAATTTAAATTCAATTAACAAATGTATAAATTAACATGTGTTTTTACTTTAAGTTTTTATCACTAAACTTCATTACAGTTAGAAATTTACAGGAAATCAATATCAGGTAAGCAGGGGGTCTACCCAACACGGAAAAACATGATAAGGGGTCTACGACACAAAAAAGTTTGGGGAACTCAGGTTTACAGTGTTTACACGATCACGATTCAGTATGTTGCTCGAGCCGACTATGAAGGAACCTCTGGTTAAATGATCTGTAGTTTTGAGTTAATTTTTTAGTGCTGTATTAATAAAAGGTATTGGGTATTATGTAACATTTTCAAATTATCACAACGTGTAAAGGAAAACTGTTTAGTACCTTCAATGAAGTACACTTTCAAATCCTCAAGCTATTATTATTGAGATTTTACATTTACTTCCTTTCAAGATATGATTAAATGATGTCAAGAACAGTCGCTCAAAATAATGACAAAACAAAGTCGAACTTATTTTATTTTCTAGGAAGTAACGGGTGATTTATAGGATTTGATTTTCAAAAAAAACACAAAAAATTTGAAAAAACGATTAAATCTTTATTTGAGTCGATAGAACGGTCGATATAATATAATGTTTAAAGATTATTTCATGTAAATGTTGGCCGCGGCTCCGCTTTATGTGGCCCATGCGCAAGGTCCAATTTTGGCACACTCTCTCCAACATATCGGCCGGTATCTCACGAATAAATGCTTCAATATTGGCTTCCAGTGCGCCAATCGTTACTGGTTTATCCCTGTAGACAATAGTCCAACGGCGTTAAATCATACGATCTAGGCGGCCAATTGACGGGCCCCAAACGTGAGATAAACTGCTCACCGAATTCGCCTCTCAATAGGGCCATTGTTTCGTGTGCGGTGTGGCATGTGGCACCGTCTTGTTGAAACCACATGTCAGCCAAGTCCAGCTCTTCCATTTTGGGCAAAAAAAAGTTTGTTATCATCGCACGGTAGTGCTCGCCATTCACAGTTACGTTCCGGCCATTGTCGTCTTTGAAGAAGTACGGCCCGATGATGCCACCGGCCCATAATTAACACCAAACAGTGATTTTTTTGGGATGCATTGGTATCTCTTGGAATGCTTCTGGCTGGTCTTCACTCCAGATGCGGCAATTTTGCTTGTTAACGTACCCATTCAACCAGAAATGAGCTTCGTCGCTGAACACAATTTTCCGATAAAAATGTGGATCTTCCTCCAACTTTGTCAGCGCCCATTCACCAAATTGGAAACGTTGTGGGAGGTCGTGTGGCTTCAATTCTTGCACCAGCTGTATCTTATAAGGTTTTACACCCAAATCCTGGCGCAAAATTCTCCACGTAGTGGAGTAACAGAGGTCCAATTGCTGCGAACGGCGGCGAATCGACATTTCACGGTCATCACTAACACTGGCGGATACAGCCGCAATATTTTCTTCAGTCCTCACTCTACGTCTGCGTGTTGGTGGATTAACGTCCAATAATGTAAACTGGGTTCGAAATTTAGTCACAAGCTTCCGAATAGCTCCCTCAGTAGGCCGACCAAATTGCCCATAAATTGGAAACAGTGCTCAATGCACTCTCTTATCCGATCATGAACTTTTATAGTATAATTCAATAATTTGCAAGCGTTGTTCGTTCGTAAGTCGATTTATGGTTAAATTATAGACCACACTGAACAAGTTTGGCAATGACACAAGACACGATTCACGCGTCATCTGTCAAAAACAGTGTTGCCAAAAATATACTAGCAAAAAATCACCCATTAGATATTATGATGATGATTTTGAAAAGATTTCTGGCATAAATAGCAACTACCTCAAAAATATTTTGCTCACTCTGAAATAGACAGGGTGTCATGAAAGTTAGGACTTTCTTTTTCAGTAACAGCTTTCGATTTCTCTTTCGTGACTCTTGGCTTGAACGTGGACGAAAGGTGAACCAGCGAGGTTCGCGGACCGACCTTGAAGATACTTCTGGTAGAATTTTCCGCAGTTTTGAATTCAATTTTAAGAATAGAATAGTGCTTTATTTGTGTAAGCCTGTGAACAGTATACAAAACGTCAAAAAAAATCGAAGATGTGTCACTAATGCATAACTTGAAAAACTTGGGATATAGAGGTATGTTGTAGCCATTATTATTGCGTAGTAATACTTGTCGAAGTGATGGCCGTTCCTCTAATTATTTATCTGAACAAATACCTACAGGATTTATATTTTAGGACTTAAAAAGTCTAAAAAAGCAACGAGCGATATTGAAATTTTAAAGCATTTTCTCGGATAGAATATCCAGCAATGTGCTCTTGTCTGTGTATACCGCTGTGACAAAGACACACACCAATTTTGAAAAATTTGGATTTTCTTCTTCATTTCCTCTGTTAGAAAACTGTAATTAACTGTAATTCCGTAATCTAGATGTGTAAGAGTTATCGAATTAACAAGTTTTGTTTCAATATCGCCTCTCCAGAGAGATTTATGTTTAAAGTAACACACTAACTTCACCTTCAAACGATAAATTTGTATCTAATGTTATTCCAATTTTTTTAATTTTATCCACAATTTCAATAATGGCTCCAACTAAAACTATATCTGTTTTAATTGCTTCTTCACGTCGGAACTGTTAACATAGAGCCAATGCAGCAAACTTTACTTTTGGAGGGGTTAAGTGTTAAACAATAATTTCTTGACTGATTTTCGATCATCCTTAGATTCATATTGAGGTCCACTATCAGGGAATTCACGGTATTCGGTGTACATGCCTTATAAATTTGGACACCATCTGCACCGTAACTGTACATTAAAATCAAATCTTATGGACTCGCCATCTTTTATGTCGGTATTGAAACATCGAATGACTTTGATATTTACCAACCGAGTGATTTGGTTATACGTGTTTCTGAAACGTCAATTTACTACAATATTAATCATGAATCGCTTTACACCGAAACAACGCGCCGAAATAGTCACAATGTATACTTTATCTGAAGTCACTTGAAACACTGTGAAATACCAGGTGCGTTTTATATATCTATATTTAACACGCTCTGTTGCTGCAAAAATCGCCAAACTTCGCAGCAAATATCCCCCGTATAAGAGATCAAAGGCAGTTTCACCGGTCCACGTGGAGTAAAGCACGCCTATGCGTGGACATAGCCAATGAGAAAGCGTGTATTTCAGAGCTCGGAACAAGTGCAGGTGGCTACTGAAAATTGAAAGAGTTTAGCCAGTGCCGTGTAGCGGTGAATAAACGTGTTTTCTTTAGTCTGTCCGTGTTTTTTCATAGATTTTATTAGTTTGTGTGTTTTTGACTTTTGAATACTCTGTTTACTTGTTGATTTAATTGTTGTGTTGATTG